CCGTAATCCCATTTACAAAGATTTGAGTTTTTCTAAGGGATTTGCAGGCGTTGACGGCATGGTTTTAGGGGCTTTATCCAAGTCTCTCAATTTTGATATCGCGATTGTTAACAGTACCCCAAATTATTACGGCTACACTTATGCAAATGGTACAGTGACTGGCGCTATTAGAGACATAATTGACAACAGAATAGTCTACAGCGCCAACAGGCGCTTTTTGCTACCCTACAGCGGCCATAAACTCGAATTTACGGTCCCCTGCGGCAATGAAAAAATGTGTTTGGCTGTTCCGAAAGCTCTCAAAGTGRATAAATGGTCGAGTACTTTTAGATGCTTTAAAAAATTGACCTGGATTTCAATAATTTGCACCTTTGTTGTGTGTATCGCATTTTGGTATTTTCTCAAACGGGAAAAATTAAGCGAAGCTTTCTCTACAATTACTAAATTTTTATTGGGAGTTTCAACAAATGTTCATCCAAATTTTACTCAATTTTCCTTTCTGACTTCTTGTATGGGCTTTAATATTGTCATAATGGGAATAATTCAAGGATTCCTTTTCCAAAGTTTCACCACAACATCGTTTTATCCAGATATCAACACAATTGAAGAAATGATAGAGTCAGACTTGCCATTAAGATCACAAATTTTTTTGTATATGAATACAGAAAATTCAAGTTTACTTGAAAAATTGAAACGTAGGGCCATTCGACTATCTACTGACGTTTATGATTGGATTGCTTATCAAKYAAATATTGCAATCACTGAGCCTTTATCCCGAATGAATTTGAAAGTGAAGTCTGAATATTTAGATGACGATGGATTGCCGCTCATACACATTGTTGATGAGTGCGTTGAGACATTTGTAATGACATATATTGTTCCCAAAGGTTCCGCTTTTCTCACTGTTTTTAACAACATTATAAACAAAGTTTTGGAAGCCGGTTTGATTAAAAAATGGAATAAGGATGTTCTGGACAGCATCATTCTTGAAAATTTGATTAATTTATTAAACAGAAACAAGCCGACGACTCGGTCTTTTTCGTTATATGATCTTCAAGTTCCTTTTTATGTCATTATTATAGGTCATGTAGGATCTATTTTAGTATTTATTGGAGAAATCCTTTACAACAGGAGTATGTAATTAAGTTTCATGTACT